CTATCTATCTATCTATCTATCTATCTATCTATCTATCTATCTATCTACCTACCTATCTCTCCTAATGAAACCAGTTTGTGTTGCCCATATACTCCTGGATAGGGCCATCCCCCAGAGTGTGCTCTACCTGTTAGGGCAGCGCCCATAAAGAAAACTGACTCTCTCTTCCCTCAGACATCAACCACCTAGAGCTCCTCAGCTAGAGTTGAGCACAGTCCTTCCTCCTCCATGTCAGAATGCTGACTGGCTTGATCTTACACAGGTCTTGTACAGGCAGCCAGGGCTGCTGTGAGCCCATGGCTTCAGGGGGCCTGTCATGTCCAGATGGCAGTGGTTTGCTCCAGTCCTCCTGACCTCTGGCTCTCATGGTCTTTCCGCTCCCTCTTCCATAGTGGTCATCGAGCCTTGGGGCAGGATACAGATGTCCCATCTGTGGCTGAGCATTTCATCCATACTTTGACTGTTCTACGCTTTTGCATTACCCACCATCTACCTCACAAAGAAACTTCGATAATGAAGTATGGAAGCTGTACTCATACATGGGTAGAACCATACAAGCGTAGAGGGCAGTTCAATACTCTGCCCATTAGCAGAACACTAGCACTAGATTCACCTGTGGGCTCTGGGCGCTCACCAGCCATGGGTTCTTGGCCAGATTTACAGCACCAGGTATGCATATCCTTCCATGGAGTGGGCTTAAATCCAATCGAGAGCAGCTGGTTACCTGCAGCATTTGTGCATTATTGAATATATCCTGCCAGGACAGTCCTCACAGCTGCGTAAGACTGTTGATGACTCCCCCGCCCGTTAGCAGCCTTCCCAGCACTTCCAAGTACTATGAATGCTAGTTCACACGAAAGGGCATCCCTGCTCAGTACCAACTTGATCTCCCCATGTCCTGTGACTAAACTGTGTGATGTCTTCAGCAATATGGTTCCACCATCAAGTTCTGGTGGTGTATAAGCAACAGCCTATATTGTTTGGGGGTGTCTCTGAGACATCCCTGAACAAAACCTCAAAGGGAGGTACTTCACATCTGGCACTGGAGTTTTTATTTGGCAACGTATGGTGTCTGGGACAAGCATTCTCATGTGATTTTTTTTTTCCAAAATATACTTCATGTTAGCTATCCCTTCCCATTTCTTTCTACGGACTACTTAAATCGCTGTCATATGTGTCTCCATACTAGTCTGTGTTGTAGCACTTGGCGAGAAAGGCCTTTCTAATCAGTAGCACTACCCCAGAACAAAGCAGGTGTCTCTCAGATGGTGAGCTTCTTCCCGAGAGGTGCGTCAGCAGAACAAAAGAATTGGCAGCTTACAAACAGAGTGATGCTTATGCCAGTGAGAGGTGGCATATGACTCTGGTGTTGGCCAAGTACTTCCAGGACACCTTCCTGATGTTATCTTTTCTTTATTTATTTTCTTTCTTCTACAGTTTTATGAGACTAAGTATATAGTCTCACTATATAGTTTTAGCTGTCCTGGAATTCACTATGTAGACCAGACTGGCCTTGAACTCACAGAGATCTGCTCAACTCTGCCTCCCAGGTGCTGGGATTAAAGGTGTGAGCCACCACACTTGGCATGATGGTGTCTTTTTCAAGTGTTCCAGCTGCACATGTCATCTAGGTCACAATAAAGTGGACTGTCAAGTGAGCGAAGGGAATGGTCTGACCTCCAGGGTCACAGCCACCAGTTCCTCATCATAGGCCCCAACACCTGAGGCATTTGTCATAGTCTCACAGGAGGACAAAAGCTACTACAACCGAAGTGTGCCTCTCTCTCAACCCAACTATACCCGACTGTAGAATAATCTCTTTCCTTCAGAGTCCACTGCACTGCCCTCTGTGGCACGAGGTGTGACACAGACAGCTGTCTACACTGCAGTATCTCAGGGGCATCCCAAGAAGCAGTTAAGAAACAAGGTGGTGCTTCTTCCATACTAGCTTGGGAGGACTGTGAAAAATAGTAAACGGAACAGGTAATAGTAAGCTGCAGAAAATAAATATGATATAATTCTATTTAGGGGAAAAAAGGCAACAAAACAGCCCAGCCCTGTCTATTTATGCTCTGTATCTTATGCCCAGAAGCATGGCCTTGGGGCATGGTGTGTGTGTGGTGGTGTGTGTGGTGGGTACATCCGCAGACAGGGGAGATAGGAGGGTGTCAGGAAGGAAGGCTCCACTTCTCTTTATCCAATCATTTGAAAGTTAAAACTGAGATTAATTTATCCACAAGTGATTTATTTAATCCTCCAGTAAATCTGAAAGGAGGCCAGAGTTCTTCACTGCCCAAACTCTGCCTGCTCAGTCCCGGCATCCCAGCCCAGCCCTCTCCCATGGGGCTTCTTACTGCCTTTTGCCCACTGTTAAAGTCTGAGGTCACTCCTGATTTTTTTATTCCACCCAAGCAAGCTATTCATAGGGTCACAGCCCATGGCCCCATGGGGTTTTAGAGGTCATGAAGCCCCAGCCCTCCCCACTAATGATGTTGAAGAAGACTCTAGAAAGAGGCGGCTACCTTCTGCTTAGATGCCTCAGGAGACAAGGGGTCTCCTCCCTCACTGGAGAGTTCCTTCACTGCATGACCTCTCATTGTATATGTCTATACACATACCTGGTACCCATGGAGGCCAGACTCAATGTATATGTCTATACACATACCTGGTACCCATGGAGGACACAGGGCATTGGATCCCCTGGGACTGGAATTCCAGAGTTGAGGCACCACATGGACATTGACCCCAGGTCCTCTGGGAGAGCTTCCAGGGATCTTAACCATCGAGTTCTCTCTCAGCCCCTCGTACATCTACGTTAAGAAATTTCTGTTCAAATATTTTGTCTACTTCTATTTTATTTATTTGCATCTTCTTTATATATTCTGGATACTAACCCTTACTAGATATATACTATACATTTACAACTTTTTCCATTCCATGTTATCTTTTCAACACCAGTGTGTGTGTGTGTGTGTGTGTGTGTGTGTGTGTGTGTGATATGTATATGTGTGAGTGTGTATATAAAAGTACATCTATCCATGCAATCATGTGTGAACCTGGAGGTCAACATCAGCTGTCTCTCTAGTGCTCTGTATCTTTTGAGGCAGGGTTTCTTCTTGAATCTGTAGACATCACTTTGGCTAGAGTGGCTGGCCTGTGAACTTTCAGGATCTGCCTGTTTCTGCCCTTCAGCACTGGGGTTCTGAGCATGTTCCTTGCTGTGTGTGGCTGTTATGTCAGGGCTGGGCATCTGAACTCCTGCTTATGCAGCAAAGCTTTGCACACACTGCCATCTCCCTAGGCTGTTGTTTTACCACCACCATCCACTTTTAAATTACTTGACAGCCTTCTATATGTTCATAATGAATGGTTGTTTTCACGTCTTCCTGCTTGCTCATTCCCCCTCTGTCTTCTTCCACTGGAATCTTTCTTCTTTCCAACACGTCACCCTCCTACCTTCATGTCTTCTTTCGGAGCGTGACCTATGGGGTTTAATTAGAGTGTAGATGGGAACTTCTTTGATAGTACTCTATGAACACAAGAAATCTACGTGTTGATGAAAACTAATTTATTTATTTTCACCTTCTGATGTTTGTGTTATAGGTGTCACATATAAAGAACCATTGGTAAGGTCACAAACAGTTACATCAGTGTTTTAGGAGTATCATAGTGTTGGTTCTTACCATTAGGTCTTTGATCCACAGGCCAGAGGAGGCCTTTGGGTGTCCTCTACCACTCTTTATTCCTTTGAGATAGGAGAGATCTTCCAGTTTCCACTCAGTATGGTTATTTTACCACCACCATCCATTTTTAAGTTATTTGACAGCCTTCTATATCTGATGCCACAGGTCTGTTTGGTGGCATCATCTCATAAGCAGTAGCAGATTTCTGGTCTGTGAACATGGGCTGTTGGTTTTATACTTCATAGGTTTCCTTTGATGGCACTCAATGCTGTCTTGTTTTCATTGTTTTTTTGTTTTGCTTTGTTCTGTTGATTAACATAATCCTACATATTTTGTTCTCTTTGACATTAGTACAAAGGGACTGTTCCGGGTGCTTATTCCTACTTTGTAAACGTCCAGATGTGTTTTGTTTGTTGCTCTTATTTTCTATATGCTTGATGAACCAGTTGGGGTGTGTGTGTGTGTGTGTGTGTGTGTGTGTGTGTGTGTGTGTGTGAGTGTGTGTGTATGTATGTGTGTGTGTGTGTTCCTTGGGATTCTAAATCCCAAGATTACGTGATCCTAATATGCACCCCCCCTTTAGCTTGGATGTCTTTCTTTTCTTGCTCAACTGTCTTGACCAGGACCTCTAGAACAGTTCTGTTAAAAGCAGACATGGTGTCATTTTCCTGATCCTGGGGAAAACTTTCTGCCTTAAAGCTAAATGATACCAACTTTCTTTCTATGTCAGCTTCTGTGCACGGCTTCACTCTTTGAGAGCTGGCAACAGTCTCCACACAACACTCGGGGCTTCCATCTGAAGAGGTAGTTTAGGTAAAGCACATGCGTAATTGTTGACTTGTTTTTCTTTTTCTTTTTTTTTAAAAACAAAAAAACAAAAAAAAACCCCAAAGAGCCAGCCTTTGGGCAACAAAGTGGAAATGGAGATTGTGAACATGTTGGAGAAAAACACAACACTCCTCAAATTTGGCTACCACTTTACCCAGCAGGGGCCACGGCTGCGGGCATCCAATGCCATGATGAACAACAACGACCTTGGTGAGTGCATGCCTGTATTCTGCCTTCCCATCCACGCATCCTACAAACCCACCATACTCCAGGAGAGGTTTATGGGTTCAAACTCCTGACTTTCAAGGGTATCACATCTTGTTCTGTGTCTATACTTGTATTCCCCCATATTCCCCAAGACTATGAGCTGCATGCCTTCAGGACCAGGGCAAATGCCTCTCCTTCCTAGCCCAGCTCAGAATTAACTGGCCCCAGAGCTCATCCCAGAGCTCAGCATGTCAGCTAGAGGAAATGAAATGTTGGGGTACACAGGTACCTTGGTTGTGCTCCTCTTCAGAAGACCGTTCTCTACATCACACTGATTTCCCAAAGCTCTCAGCCAATGCTATCACCAAAAGCCAACACCATCATCAAAAGCCACAGCCCAGGAGACTCCATGTGGCTCCCAAGGAAAAGTTAGAAATGTACAGTTCAAAGAAAAGTAAATGCAGGGCAAGCAAGATGGCTCAGTGAGCGAATGCGCTCACTGAATAAGTGTTGGTGAACTGAGTTCAATCCCTGGAACCTACAAAGTTGCCCTTTGACCTCCACATGCACGTTGCAGTGTTACGTGCACACACAGCACTAATAATAAAAATATAACGTAAAAGTAAGTTACATTCTCTCAGTGTTTGTTGAAGGCATCCTTTGACTCCCTTTCCTAAACAGAAAGGAAAAAAGTCTGTCTTGACGATGAGCTCTGTCAAACACATGTACTAGTCAACAGGATGAAAGGCAGCGTCAGTCACCCACCTGCTCCCACGTGCTGATTGTTCATGAGTCCTGGGTGGAGTTGCTTATTACATGTTCCAGATGATGCTAAGAACAGGACACGGTGTGAGATGAAGGCAGCGTGGCTGACAAAGCTGTGGGAGAGTCAGAAGGAAAAGCAAGGCATGCAGCAGCTATACTGTTAGCTTGATTCATGGTGACATTTACCCTAAGTGTCATCAACCAAGACAAACACTGTTTTCACCAAATCCTCACAGACTCTACCCAGGGTTCTCTATAATCCCCAAGCTTCTGCAAAACAAAAAGAGCTTAACCCTGAAGCACGGTTCAGGTGATGATCAGAGCTGTCAGATACCCGTGGAAAATCAACTTTACATGCACACACAACACTGATGTCCCAAAGCACACACAAAAGGCTTGCACTCACAGACCTTTCCACAGAACTCAGACTTACACACACTTCTAGTCAAGTTCTTCGACTTCAGGATCCATCTGCTAAACTGCTGAGGATGCTGGGGACACCGGCTCCTGCTCTTAAGCAGAGCATAGCCTGAAGAGCTCTTTGTCCACTGCCCATGCCATAAGCCACTTTTTCCAGAGCCTAACAAAATATAACTTTGTCTTGGTTTACCTGAGGTGCCATTATCTGAAACAAAGTAAGATCAAACATAAATACGACGCAAACTTACCTCAGCACGGAAGTGATGGGTCAACGGAATCACTGGATGAAGCCAGCTATCAGAATATTATTGCTGGCTCAGCTGTAATCTGGGTGTGAACCAACACTTAAAAGTATTATTGGTAGTAGTATGAGTATTGTTCTGAGAAGCGATAATCTCACATTTCCCCCTAGTTATAGAGTAAGCATTTGACATGATACTCAGTGCCCACTGTCACTTGTTTTCTCTGAATTACAGATGGAAGTTCCTTCCTTGGCAAAAAGAGTTCTCGGATGACTAGCCAGGAGCACTGCTGGGGTATACCAGATGACTAGTCAGGGGTGCTGCAGGGGTATACCAGAATCATTTTGGATGAGACAGACAAGTTCTGAGACTTAGATTCTAAGCCATAGACCCAATTCACATCACGAGGACTCCCCAGCGCTGATGTAGGAGTTTCAATCTAGAGCTGACTGGATTGCAAGTTCACTCTCTACTTCCCTACTTGAGACTAAATAAAGCCTGAGGTGGTTGGAGACCATGGCTTGGGTCACAGCCATTGTTAGTCACTTTTCTGAGAAACCTTGACTAGGCTGTCCTGGGTGACCTGGCATAATAGAAAGTTCTTGGATGTACGAAGGCTTGCCACCTTTTAGGGGAAAAGACTCAAAGGCATGCTTAAAAACTCAAGAATGCCTGCAAGCTCTGCTCAACAGCGTGAGGAAATGAGTTATGAGAGTAGAAGCCAGCTGAGCAAAGCATCCTGGTGAGGAGGGTCTTTAGCCAGCCTCGAAAGGGAAAGAGAGGCTGACAGAGATGGTCAGGAGGTGACCCTGCAGGAGCTCTAGGAAGGACTGGGGTACAGGCCTTAATAGGGGGCCTGGCCTACAGGATGGTTGTACTTTTTAGTTTTAATGTCAATTTGACACAAGCTAAAGTTGGCTGGCAACAGGGAATGTCAACCAAGGAATTGCCTCCATCAGACTGGCCTCCAGACTGGCCTGGGGACATTTTCTTTATTAATGATCTATGTGAGAGGGGTCATCACCACTCTGTGCAAATGGTCCTGGGTTGTATAGGAAAGGCAGCTAAGCCAGGGGGAGCAAGCCAGTACGCAGTGTTCCTCCATGGTCTCTGCTTCAGTTCCTGCCTATAGGTTCCTGCCCTGAGTTCCTTCCCTGGCTTCCCTCAGTGATGGACTGTGATTGGACTTGGGACAAATAAGCTAAATAAACTTCAGGGAAGGCATATGGGGAGCAGGAACCATGGCTCTTTGTTGATCAGGGATGCCAAGATGTAATGATGACAGTAGCCTCTAGGTACCCCAGGGGCCTGCCTGTGTAGCTGCTCCCTTGATATTTCTCACTGGAGGATATTCTCAGTGACACAGACCACACTCAGAGTGTTAGGCAGTGATGTATGACTTTCTGTTTGAAATGCAAATGTGTACTCATTTTCTAATTTTCATTATGAGAACTACTTCGGACTCTCACCAGTACAATTGGCTTCTTCCTGCAAAAGGAAAATATCTACCATCCTCCCAGCCTGGTGGCTCCCTCCTGCTGCCATGCTGTGGTTAAAGCAGGCTTCCATGCTTTCCCAGCTGGGATGCTTTATCATGAGATCCTCCTGGTAGTCTCTGTGGTACTGCAGTTGTCAGCAGTGCTGTGCTAGAGCACACATGGGAAGAGAGCGGGCTTCTCCAATGTCCCTCCTGCTTGCCTCATGGCTGGTCAATGACTTTGCTGTGGCCTTTGCAGTACTTGGGCCTGCAGGTGGGCTCTTCCTTGGGAGCACTGAGCCAGTGCCTGTGATGGCCTACCTGGTTGCATAGTTGGTCTTTCCCACCCCAAGCTCAAAGCAAACTGCTCTGTAGATGCTCATAGAACATCCTGGAATGTTTACAGGACAGAGCTGAGAGGTCACCTCTTTTCTATCCCCCCATAGAGCCTCAGATGACTCCTGTCTCCATGCTATTTATAGCCCAGGCCAGGCAAAGGGTGACTCTCAGGTCCTCCAAACCTGCTACCAGCACACTTAACAAGATCTAAACCATAGCCTCCACGTTAGGTAGTAGTGGAATGGGGTGTGCAGAAAACAACACGATTACAGGCAGAACATCTCTCCTTTACCATGGTCTCAATGCTTGCCTTTCTCACGGGCACTTCAAGAGCAAACCTCAAATCATCATAAATTAACAAGTTATAATTGTATATATTTATGAGGTACATGTTTTAATCCAAGATTAAAAAGTAGAATAATATCAAGTTAGTCAGCATATCTGGCACCTCGATATTTTTCTGTGGTAAAATTAGTTGAAATGTACTTTCAATTTTAAAATGTTCAAGACCCCATTAGTAACCACGTACCATATTGTGTGAAGGTCTCAAAGGAAACAAAAATGTCACCTACTTCCTCCTGAGATTTTGACCTTTGACTCCCCCTCTCACCGCCCCTCCCTCTCACTATCCAGCTTCTGTACCCAGTATTCTACTGGCCGTCCGTTGCTGGATTTCTTCAGGTTCTACTTGTATGTGAGGATGTGCAGGATCTGTTTTTCTGCATCCAGCTGTTTCACTTAGCATGATATCCTCACACCGTGGCAGACGGCAGTTTTGGTGTTCTCTAAGGTCAGACAGTGTCATGCACAGATCCCATATTTTCTTTGCCCATTCATCTGTTCATAGATAGTTGAATTCCTCATCCTGGCAACTGTGGGTAGTGCTGTGCACACCTCTGTGATACACTAACTTTGGATCTTTGGGGTAATAATTGTGCCTATCTGTGGACCCGCTGGATCCTAAATCAGTTTCTTCTTATCCTAAAACTATTAGGGCAAGTGTTGTTACGGGCAGCTCTCCCAAGCAGAAATCTAGGTACGCCTGGATGCTGCCCTGATTCCCGTCAGCCAGTTACCTCTGCAACTCCCAACTCCAGCCTCCAGTCCAACCGGCCACATTCCCCTGCAGCTTCTTTGACTTCAGGTCCTGCAGATGGGCATCTCCCAGCAGCACTCTGTCCGAAGCTGACCACCCCACTCGGCAACTTAGATGCCTTGCCAGCTGCCATTGCTCAGGCTCAACTCTTCCATGTGGCCCCCACATCCCTCAACAGAAACGTGGCACACACTGTGATGCACCAGTCTCTGTCCTGAACATTTTCCCTATTAATAACCCATATTACTTCCCATACTACTAACAACCGGTCACAGCCGGCTATTATCCCTACTTTTTAGTAAAAACACAGGACTGTGGTTGGAAGAACCGAGGATTGAACAGAAAGGAGTCCCCTTTCTGCTCTGTACATCATCTAGAGAGGGCTGGCTCCTCAGGACATCCTGACAAGGCATCTTCTTGCTAGGTTAAGCATCCATTCCAGGCAGCCTGAGTGCCCTCAGAAGTGCCACCAACAGCCTTTTTACCATTCTCTACTCTTTCTTCCTTTATAACCTAGTGACCTACTTTCTACCCATCCTAGGAAGACAGGGCCGCTTCATCCACATTCCTTTCATATCTCAGAGGTCTGCCAGGACACCTGTAATCTTCTGTCAAGGTTCCTTATTGTCTGTATCTTTATCCTTGACTCTTGCGCATGACACACAGCACCAGGCAAATGCTGACTTACATACATGAGTCTAGAGTGCTTCCCAAGGCACAGTAGAGAGAGTCATCTGCCCACAAGTAGTAAAGGGAGCTCAGACAATGAATGCAGGTGGGTCCTGATGACTGGAGATCTCCTCTGGCTCTGCTAATAAACAAGGGAGCCTGTGGCTGTTGCCATGGTGAGCACATGGATTTTAAAAAGAAAAGATTTTTGAAAAGAAAAGAAGAGAGAAGAAAAGAGAAGAGAAAAGAAAGTAACAAATATGTTGAGTTAGAGACCTGGCTTCTACTCCAAGTCACTTGCTAGAACTTTTATGGTGGGTGGCTTCCCTTTCTTGCTCCACCATCAAAATGGAAGCCATAACACATGAGTACACAGGCTCCCCTTTCTGTGAGAGCCAGTTCTTAGGAACCATGCACACAGATCTAGCCTCATATGTACAACGAGGAAGAGCAATGGGAGTCCATCCCTCCCACCTTTTACCTCCCCAACCTGGTCTCCTGAAATTTCCATCAAAGGCCAGTGACTAAGGTTGCAGTCCTAGCTCTGCAAATAGGGCCATGGCTTTCTTCTCTAAAAGAGGAGAGCTGATCCTGTGAGGATCAGAGGAGACATGGACATGTAACCAAACTACTGAGGCATTAGGCTGAGACTCAAGATGAGTAACAAGTCTTAGCTCTGCCTGGTTCTAGCTTTGTTACTTTTCTGAGAGTTTCATGTAGCCAAGGCTGGTCTTGAACTTGCTATGTTGCAGACTAGCCTTGAACTCTTGATGCTCTTACCTCAACCTCCCAAGTGCTAGGATCACAGGAGTGTACTACCACACGGTTTATCACTAGTTTTCTAGCTTAAACAAACATCATATCCTTGCTACCATGTCCTTTTCTGTCAAAGGCAAATCCAGAGCCTTTGGAGGGGTTTCTGTTCAAATCCTGGATCTACATTTGAGTGGATGACTCTATACCATAGGTACGGAGAGGTAAGGGTAGCCCACAGACATGCTTGCACAGTTAAATGTTGGGTGATGGGCTCATTTGTAGAAACTGCACATCTGTACAAGACTCTTCTGTTCTTTGGATTTTGGTTTTTGTTCCTGTACAGAGTCCCAAACTGTGTGAACGGTTAGTCACCTTCAGGAATGGGGCTAGACGGTGTCTTCCTTCCAGGTTGCCTACCTATCCTGGTTTGCATTTCTCCTTCTCACCTGGGATGAGGGAAGTGGGTAGGGACCCACACTGAGCATCTGTGGGCCTGTGACCCACTTCCAGCTCTCAGCCACGCCTTCACAACATACCTGCCCCATCTGAGTCAGGTGCGAGTTGACTGGGGTGTTGCAACTCATGGGCTTTGAGCGGATGGCTACATAGCCACCTCAGCTTTGCAAGTGGAAGCCATCTTACACTGACTAAACAGGTAGCAATGGTTACCTGCCTCTGCCACATCAGCAGGCAGGCCCCTTGATTATCTCATCTATGACCTTCCTTGACCTTGTGTTCTTTTGCAGTGAATATAGCTTGCTTCTTAGTCTTCATCTGCCAATATGATGCCAAAGGGGTCCCTTCAGCCCTAGCCATTCACTAAGCTTTTATCTCCTGTCTATAACCTCCTGGCTCATATTTCCCTGTCTATGAACTTAACTGTCATATGAACAGCATTTGAGCATGAATTTTCTTGCTCCTGGGGAAATGTCACTGTTAAAATATGAGAGGGCATGACAACTGCAGGCAATTTCCAGTTATTAACATAACCAGGAGGCAGGCCAGGTATTCCCAGAAGGAGCAATGGCAAACACTTTTAGCAGACTAAGACCCTAGTCTTAAGACTCGCTAAAGTTAACTTTGCTCAGATACAGTCTTCAGTTGTGGAATCCCTGTAGGTAAAGTCGAATGTGTATGTGTGTGTGTTGGGGGCGGGGGGGGGGGAGGCAGAAGGACCGTGTGGGCAGACATTTTAAAGAGATGTGAGGAAGATATGTCCACCTTACCACAGACTCATTAGTAGCTAGGTATAAACTATACAGCCTTCTTGTAACTGTCCTTGAAAAGCAGACTCTGACCTTGTAAAACCAGTGTCACTTGGGACTGGCAGGGACAGCTGGCTCACATTTCTTTCTCATTCCTTTGTAGTGAGGAAGAGGAGGCTGGCAGACCTGACGGGGCCCATTATTCCCAAGTGCCGAAGCGGTGTCTAGTGTGCAAAGGGAAGCCCACGCCTATGAACTGGACATGTTGTACTGATAATGTGTGTTCCCCATGGAGACAGGAGGTGGATGCTGGCGTGGAACTCTTGTGGTTCAGTTCTTTGTGCGCTAAGGTTTAGGTTAACTAGTGACTGTAGTTGGACCTTTTATAAAATATGGTTAATGTGAAGTTTTTCCTTAGTCACAGAAGTTCAGTCTGGTAATTATTTAAAAATGCAGAAGCCCTCAAGCTGGCGGGTCTTGCAGACCACATGACACTGACAGAGACAGCCCAGAAGCCCCTTGGCGGCCATGCTTGGTGCTTAGGTACACTTACAACATGGAACGCATTAGCACAGAACACTCTTCCCACCTAGTTTGGAAGCATGGTGAAACAATGTTTTATTTCAGATTTGATCACAGCAACTCAGTAAAAAGAACACATAATCATGATTTTTCAACCCCACTTGAAACTTTAACATCAAGATTAAAGCTGCCAAATTGATTCCAGGATCAAACCCCTGCCCTCTAAGAATGAAAGACAAACCCCAGAATTTTCTAAGAGTCAGAAAGACACAGGATTCCTTCTTCGAGGTAAGAGAAAGAGGGAGAAAAAGGCAATGGTGAAACTTGGGGGTTTCCAAGCCCACTATGCCAGGCAACAGACATACTTCTGAGTGCTGTGTGAACACCTGCAGGGTACTCATCTGCAGTCAGAAATCATTTCTTCTTTATTGAATGCCAACTTCATGATGGATAAAAACTTACAGCCACTCAAAAACATCCTCCTATATCGCAGTGAGCCAATGGCTTATTTGAGATCAACACCATTGGGTGAAACCATGCCTGTGGTACTTAGCATGGCCCTGCTTACGGACACCAAGTGCCTGCCTGGTCACTTATGAGACAAATCAAATCACACAGAGCTCCTGCCTACAAACAAAGCCTCTGAAGGACAGGAGAGTTCAACATCCTAACGGGAAGGAACTAGGAGATCCTGGCAAAACAACACAAGGAATTAATTACTCTGAAACCTAATGTTGGCGTTCCTCCTGGGTCCCTTTTTTAACACCTTGGGAGCCAGTAAAGATGTTAAACTACACTGTTCTTGTGCCTTTTAATAGACCACAGTGCCAGTTAAACTAGTATTTTTGTTGCTTTGGGGAGTTATTTTCCTTAGGGATTCAGCCAATATAGTAATGACAAGGCTCAAAAGCTGTTGAGCACAGCCAGGGGGCTTCTAACTTAAGAGGAAGCCTGCACACCGAACTGTAACACTGTGGACAGTACAGGGTAACTAGAGGTGGCGTCGGGGCCTCAGCACTATGAGTGTCCACTGAGGCTGCATATGGGCCCAGGAGTGGCACCAAGCTGCAGGGACGGCCAGCCCCACTCAGCTTCTCCTTGAAACACAATTGCAGCTGCATTCTGCATCACTGGAAACTGCAAAATAATATTAAAGCCATCTGGTCTATGTGTGGCTCCATGTGCTTCTTCAGAACCGTGGGATGGGAACACGTGCCCAAAGGCCAGGAGGCTGAAGGAGCTCCGTAACCAAGTGTCTTGTGTGCTAGATGCTGCTCACCTGGATCCCTGACAACACTTACAAGCTGAGAGAGGGATGCTGGGTAAGGCAGAGCTGCTAGAGGAACATGTTTAAAGAAACCAAAGCAACAGAAGCATGGGCCATCTCTCTCAGGTGTCGACTGTGAAGGGACAGAGTGTAATTACTTTAGATTCTGAAGGCCGCATGGTCTTTGGCCAACTACTTAGTAGTGCCATGATCACATATAAAGGAATGGGTTGGCAGATTCAGTAAACACTTCAAGGCACAAAGTGGTCAGAGCCACAGAGCCTTCAGGCAGTTAGGTTAAAGGCTGAGGTGGGGGAGATAGTAGCTGGCCTGGTTTAAGAGTCCACACCCAGGGCCCAAACTTTTATACTTTTGCTGTCAGGGTAAAAAAGTCTGCTGACAAGAGCAATGACTACCACCCTGCTGCATGGCAGAGAAGCCACCAAGCTCAGGATAATCCCTCATCATCTTTGGGATCCCACATGGCTTACCTTTTTTCCAGGCTCTAGCATCCTCTGAATCAAACAGGTAAATTAGGCAGCCAACACTGGACATCCTGTCCCTTTGCCTGTAGCCATCTGCTATGGTGGCAGTGACCAACATGGACACTCCCCACTTGTTTCGACAACCTTCACAATCTGCACATAGCTACTTAAGTCTGCACTGTGAAGTTTAGTGAATGCTGAACACGCCGCTCAGCCTCCCAGCACCAGGTCCTGGGGCCAGGCTCACAGGGAGTCACGCATGCTGCTCCTGTGGGATGCGTGGCCTCCGGGCTGTGCACTCACACTCTTCTTTAAAAGTGTCCTGGGTGGGGCCTGAAGCCTGCTTGCCCCCTTTGTCTTGACACAGGACACAACAGGCTGTGAATCCTTGTCCTTGACAGGCAGAACAGGTCAACACAAGCTGGCGGCACTGGGGAGTAGAACAGAGTTTATACTGGTCCCACGGGGCTCCACAGTATGAACATTCTAGGGAAGAAAGGATCTTATTATTCTCTCTCTCCCTTGCTTGTATACACACATCCCACACAGAGAGAAACACACAGAGAGAGACACAGCAGGGAGGGAGGGAAGGAGGGAGAAAGAGAGAGAGAGAGGGAGGGGGGGGGGGGACATAGATAAGTTCTAATTCCTAAAATAACTCTTAATTCACTAGAATCTAAAATACTCTTTTGGTCCAAGGGAATGTTTCCAAGTCGGGCAGGTTGGTACCAACTATGACCTAAACACTTGGTAGGCTGAGACAGGAAGACTGTAAGTTCAAGGACAGCCTGAGCTATGTGTACAGTGAGACTCTGTCTCAAAAATAGAAACAGATTAAAAGAAAATACTATTCCTATCACATAAGAAAGAAAAAGGCCTTTATGGGGGTTGGGGTGGTGGTGTGGAGAGGCTGCTTCTGGGAACTGTGTTCTGATTCTTCCTCCTCCATCCATTGCTCTTTCTTCCATCGAGAAACAGCTTCCGAAACCGGCGGATTACCTTACCCCCCCAACTGTCCCTCAGATAATCTCCCTTCCCAGGGGGACAATGTACCTAAATACAGAAGACCCCAGATTATATCCAACTTGTAGAATGCACAATGCCCCACCCAGGCCATCACCAAAGGCCACTGCCAGGACACCTGACCACCCAACTCCTCCTGGCCAACACCGGTCACCTTTGAGAACAGGAGTGTGCCTTCTGTGCCGCCTTTGGCCTTTCTCACACTACAGCCACATGCAGGCGCTTCCTCCACGGAGCCCTCATTTCTTTTCTCTTATGATCTATACTATACCTTGCTATAAAGCAGATCTGAGGTTTAAATGAAACAATTTTTAGACCATCATGAGAAAAGATCAGAAAAGTGGGCAGGCAAAATGGCTCAGTAGGTAAAGACAATTGCTGCCAAGAACGATGTCCTCCTGGGTTCCATCCCCACAACCTACATGGTAGAAGGAGAGAACTGACTCCTTCCTGTAGGCTGTCCTCTGACCTCCACACACACTGAGGAACATACATAAGCATGTAGATAAGCAAATGTTTTACAAAGATCAGAAGAGAAGAGATGAGCAAATCTCACTAAGAAGTCTGTAATCAGAAGGTTCTAAAAACTGTAGCAGCCATTAGGGTTGCCTACCCATGACTTTCATTCAGATACTACTGAGCTGTAGTATCCAGGGCAATTCATGCTCTGTGGACTGTCTCTCCTTTCCTAACTATATCTGACAAGGGCCCGAGTGTGACCAGCTAGCTGCAGTGGCCACGTTCCTGGCCCTGCTCTGCCCGTCCACTCTCACCTTCAGATGTGCACTCTGGGATGGGAGCATGATCTGGCTGCAGCATGTCACACCACTGGTCACCAGGGCTGATTTGTCTGATCTGCCTGTCTAACCAGGTATCTCCTTCCTCGCTCATGGCTCCATGTGTCCCTCTCCTGAAGTTGTAGCCCAACGGATGAGGACTTTCCCCATATAAAAGAGGACCACTCTTAGGTCAAAAGTATACTAGCAGCTCTGTGTTTTCCTGTTCAGACCTCCAAACAAGTCCTCAAGTGTACAACATGTCCACGGGCCACCTACTACTTACTCTTTGCCATGGATGTTTGCAGCCTGATAATGACTATGGACCTTGTCTATGAAAAAAAAATTTTAAATCAACAAAATCAAATGCATCATGTTATCAAGGAAATCAATTGTGTAGAAATACAAAATGGTAAAATAACTTTCAAAGTGTGTGATTTAACAAAAGCTATGCTATATGTTAAGACATTAAACACAAGAGTCAATGGGAGGCCTACTATGCCCACTGTGAGGCTGTGAGGACCATGATGCCATGCTGAGCTTCCCATAGCAACAGCAGTGGATGTGGCAGGACTGAGAATCCTTCTGGAGACAAAGGCCCAGTACACCTGGCACAACTGGTCTGCTTCATGATGCAAGTATTTCATTTTTGTCACGAGTTACGTTAAATGAAAATTTAAGTATTTTCTCACTCCAATTCTTAGACCCCCCCCTGAATTCTACATCTGTCTGGCTCCAGGCAAGTCAGGTGGGGTTATGACCATTTTAAAGGACTTGCCCACCCAGTGTATAGCATGACCATCACCATCTGAAGCCTGCCAGGAAACAAAATGGCAGCATAGTGCCCTTCATGGCACCATGTGATGCTCAGGTGTCATGGCCTGCCTTCCCTGGGCAATGGCTCTAGAATAGTGACTGATTCTGACCTGTAATAACATGGCTCTGGACCTGGGCTGACCTACCTGATACCACAGAACTGTTGTAGGCCAGGGCAAACCGTTCATCAAAAACAAACAGCTTCCCTTTGTAGAAGCCATCAGGAAACTCTTCCAGGTACTTGTGGATGCCGCCCTTGAGCTGAAACACTTCCTTACACACTCCCTGGGTAGAGAAAAAAAACAGAGATTTAGAAACAGTTCCATGGTGGTGAGTGTCCAAGCAGAGCATCCACCGCCTG